AAAAGAACAGAAATCACAACAAACTGTCTCTCAGACCACAGTGTAATCAAATTAGAACTCAGGATTAAGAAACTCACTCAAAACCACACAACTGGTATCAAACTCCTGACCTCATGATCCATCTGCCTCAGCCTCCCAAAGTGCTGGGATTACAGGCTTGAGCCACTGTGCCTTACCCAAGGTTAACATTTATATGTGAGTTTTTGATCCTATCATGACGTTGTCAGCTGGTTCCTTTGTAATATGTATTGTGTGGTTGCTATATAGCATCCCTGAGCTATATTTAACTGTATTTTTGTAACAGTAGGTATTGTTCTCTTATTTCCATGTTTTGAACTCTCTTAAGCATCCCTTAAGGTTGGTCTAGTGGTAACAAATTTTCTCAGTAACTGCTTGTCTAGAAAATATTTTTTTCTTGTTTGCTTATGAAGCTTAGTTTGATGGGATAGGACATACTGGGTTGGAATCTATTGTCTTTAAGAATGCTGAGGTTATCCTCATGAAAATGTTCTCACTAATATGGTATGTACAATAGTGCACCATGCAGTTTGTTTTTATTTTATGTTATTTTGTTTTTAATTTTACCCAAGTGAGACCCAAGTTGATTTATTTTTTATGGGAATTTAATGAGAGAGAATTTCTTGATTTTCCACATCTGTAGGGTGCAGACCTGTATAGTGAAACTACCCACAGCAAGGATGTATGCCTGTTAGGTGGCACAGACCCGAGACCCGATGGATCAGACTTGGCCTTCATCCTCCTCTTGTCCTGATGAAATCTCACAGCTCCAGACAACACAGACACAAAACATTGATCAACAGTAAGATGCCTTGAAGAAATGCTTCTTTCAGGACAAATTCTTTCTGTGCATTCCATGAGGTAATCAGTATAGTATATAGCTACACATTTGCACCATTTTGAAGTCCACTACAACAGAGTTTTAAAATGCTGCCTTTAGTGAGCATTGTCAATAGAGTCTTTAAGATCATCAATCTTAAGTCAAGAAAATTTAGAAAGTACTAAAATCTTAGCACTCACATGAAAGAAAACTGGAAGCTTTTCCAAATTAGACAACAATCAGACAAATTTGCATAATATTACCAATCTGAGTTTTGAAGCAGAAAGAAAATGTTATAAACCATGATTTTCACAAGTAGGATTGATTGTAATATTTCATAATTTTGGATGATTACAGTATTTATCAGAATTTTAAAGTGATCAAATTTAGTGGATAACTGGTTTATCTTCCTGCTATATTTACAGAAAATTCTATTATAAAATCAATGTCATTTGATGAAGCAAATAGTGACTCAATAGTTGAGTATGAAAACGTAGAATTAACTTTTCACACTGTTGTGTCAAGTAGTTAATTAATAAAAATGTTACGTTAGCAAGTAAAAAGAACACAAATTAAGGAAGGGCAAATCTGCCCTTCCATCTGCAGGGTGGATGGATGGACTGACGGGGTCAAAGCCAGTGACATCACGAGCAGGAAACCATGTTTCTCTTAAGCTGCAGCTTTGAAATGTCAAACAGCCTCTTCCTTGGCTGACGGCTGCTTTCTGACTCAATGGAAGACCTTGTTCTCTAGCGTCAGGGCTGTCAGAATCTTTGCTTATGAGTGAGAAGAACATCCCACTGCTTGGAGGATCTGGGTCCATCTTTACACAGAAGCACAGAGCTGCAGAGAAGGGGTTTCTGGATGGAACATTCCACACCTGGCTGGACTTTGTGGGTTCTAAGGACACAGGACCTAGGTCCACTTTGCAGACCAGACTTGACACTGGCTGCTTTACACGAAGGCCTGCCATGCTCTGAGTCCATCACTACAGCCTCAAAAATCCCTCCCCACAGTCTTATAATAAGCTCTTTCCATTGTTTTTTGAGTCATCACAGGTTTCTTGGTGTGAATTTATTCCCTTTTTGCTGCAAGCCAATAATCCTGAGTCTGTTGACTGCAAAATCTGTTTTGGTGACTGATCGCACTAGGATGTATATTATTTTTCTGGAATTTGGGATGATTGTAGTATTTATCAGGACTTTAAAATGAGTAATTTGTTGTGACTTATTTCCCTTTCTTAAATAAACACTAACTTTTGTGCTTAGTTTCTAATTGGTTATATTATGCCATTTTTCATGCAGATAACCCTCTGTATTATGGAAGCCTTAGACCTCACGGAACCTGGGTTGCCTGTGGTCACAGTGCTGAGAATCCACCTGCCCAAGGAATGACTGCACTGGTTCCTGCTTCCCAGGCCTCCAATGGACTTATCCCTCCTTCCAGAGTGATTTGTCTATGCTGAAGGTGGAGTTTCTAACCTCAGTGGCTTTAGTCTTTTAGCAAGAATTTGTGACATTATTTTTGCTAAAGGAACTTTTAGAAGGGGTGCAATATTTCCAAAACATGACCCTCAGGAGCCTCCTTTACTCCAAAAACCCAGGAGTTTCCGGAAAGGGCCCAGACCCTCAGCTTGCTCCAGAAGACGAAGACCCACATGCTCACCTTCAAGCCTCCCTGCCCCCTGCTCCCCTCCTGGGGAACAGACACACAGGGAGATGGTGGAGGGAGCCTTCTACAGAGCCAGACTTCCCCCTCCACTTCCCCAGGAAGAGAGATGTCAGAAAAGTTACGGGTTTACACGAAATCACCTGTTCCTTGTGTCCTTGGATGGTGGTTGCTTATGTCAAGACAGACCCTTCACCAGGTAGAGAACCACGAGGATCTCCATGCAGGAAAGACTTCCCCCCGACCACCATTCCTGGGCACCCGCTGCTCTGCTGTCAGCCCCTCTCTTCCAACAGAAGCCTGAATCAGTGTGTGTGCACCCCCCATCCCCGACACCGGGTGAGGCCCAGACTCAAATCTCCCCAGCTCACGACCTCCTGGGCGCTGCTGCACCTTCTTCAACCCCAAACCTTGGTTAACTCCTGTGGGGGTGGAGAGGAAATGAAGCAGATGCTCCCCACTCTCCCTGCCAGACCATCCTCCTCCTGGCTTTCTATGTGCGGCACATGGGGTGTGGGCCTCAGGGCTGTTTGGGCAGTTTCCCCTTTGTCATTTCTCCCTCAGTCTTCATGGCAGCCACCTTTGGTCAACGCAGCTCTAGGCACAGAAGATAGTTGAGAGCCCTTCCCCAGAGGCACCTGCCCAGAGGGCTGCACCCCTCTGCCCAGAAATAGCAAAGGAAAGGGCCGTGCAGGGTGGGCTAGGTCTTAGGACTGTAGCCTCTTCTTTGGAGCACAACTAACCATTTTTCTGAAGAATGGTTTTGACACTAAGGTGATGTTATTTATTAATTAAAACATCCTTTGTGAAAACAACGAGTATCCACTGCATGTCACTTCCATTCGTGTTTTAACTTCTCCATCCCTACGAAGAAGCCCGACCTGAGTACTTGTTTTAAATCCAAGTCCAGAGAAAGGGCGGCTGGATGTGAACATATAAAACTCTTCTAGGGCACAGCTTCCTAGCCTAGGACACAACCTCCCAGCCTGGGGCACACCCTCCCACGATGGATGACAGCAGGCACTGCTTTCTCTGGGTGATATGCCCGTCTTTCATCTGGTTGGCATTTTTCCCCATCAATTATACACACACACACACACACACACACACACACACACACTTTTGGGCTTTGTTTCCATGTAGGGGTCTAAAGTCTCTTGTGGAAAGAACCACACGTCCATTGCTATCTAGTTAGTGTCTAGGGGATTTGATGAGAGCAGCTCAGTCCCTGGAGTCTGCTCAACTCTGGAAGCACAGATGGAATCTATGGCCTGGCGAGCTCCACCGAGGCCTGGCCCCTGCCTGTGGACACAGCCAGCCCCCTCCTCCTGCTCTGACCAGGAGCTCAGACCACAGCAGCCCAGCTTCCCGGGCCAGCAGCCTGGGCCCCCTCGTCTCCCTGGTCCCCTCACCAAGGGCTGCTGCAGCTGCAGCCCTGGGTTCCCAGCCCCTGGCTGCTCTCTCCCTGTTCCGAAGCTCAGGTCTCCGAAAGTGGCAGCAGCTCCCCTGACAGACTTGCTGTGGCTGCATCTGCTCCCAGGTACTCCTCTGATCCCGCACCAGCAGAACAAGGAGGCTTCATAAAGGAACTGCAGAAACCCTGCCTGTGTGCACATCCCCCAGACAGTCAAGAACTCAGAGGGAGCCGATGCTACTGTTTTATTGCAGGAGGTGGGATTGTGTGTAGCATGTACCAGGGCTACCAGAAGCAAGAAGGAAGGAGGGAGGGCGGAGCCCCCTGCTGAGCAACAAAGGCCTCCTGCTCCCTTCTATGTCTGTCTCCTGGCGCAGGCGCATGGGGAGACCGCCCCCAGGGTGGAGGCCACCAGTCCAGGGGTAGGAGCACTACAGGGGGTGGGAGTAGGAGGCGGTTGGTGTGACTGGCCTGGCACAGATCCCTAGGCTTCTTGACACCTGGAATTCACCAGGGACATTCTGTCCTCCCAGGGAACTTCATAGATCTCAAAGGAGCACAGCTGTTTCTGTGAAAGGGAAGAGAGGGGGCCAATCAGTGTGGGTTACAGTTAAAGGGGAAGACGCCCAGGCATGAGATGTCAGAGCCTGGGTGAGGAAGACGGAGGTGAGACACTGGGCCCACACCCACCCCTGCTGAGTCCCAGAGCACCGAACTAGAATGAATAGTGACTGTTCCATTGCCCCTCCCAAGGCTCCAAGTCACCAGGTGGCATTGGGCCCTCACCCCAGCCTGCAGGGTTCCTGTTCCAGCACAGCCCTGTGAGGAGCGCCCGTGCAAGGCCTCCGGAGCCCCAAGGGTGCAGGGCAGGGGGAGGCGACTTGCTTCCCCCAGCTCCTTCCACCTCCAGCATCCAGGCCAGCACTAAGAGGGGCCAGAGGGAAGAGCCCAGGGCAGGGCAACTCCCCCTCAAAGAGCTGGGGCCTGGGGCAAGGGTGACAAGGGGAGTGCGGCTCTCCCCTGAGTGGAGACTTCACAAGAACCAGCAGGTCCTTGGAGAGGCTGGTGTTGGGTGAGCGGGGCAGGTCCAGGGCTACGCAGCTAACAGGCCTCTAGGTCCCACTAATCTGCTTAGTGTGGCTGTGGCTGCGTGCACGTGCCTGAGGCTGGGATTAGACAGAGCCCCTTCTCCCTGCCCAGCACCCAGCCCAGCAGCTGCTTCTTCCTGTCCAACAGGCAACACCCCAAAGAAGGCAGAGTTGACCTCTCAGTAACCATTAACCATTCCCAGGCTAAAGCCTTCCTAGCAAATCAAATACCTCACCCCCCTCCCTCACCACCCCATCTGCACACACATAGGCAACTATGTAAACTCACTTGGACCCCTCATCCTCATGGATCTATGTACAAACCCCCATACTGCTCCCACGCATCCACACAGGGCACACATCTCCCTTACACCTCCCTGCACACACTGGCACATGTGTGTACACACGTGCACCTTTCCACATGCACACCTGCATGCACACACCCCCCACAAGTACATGAACATGTACACATCCATGCATACATGGCTCCCCACATGCCCACCTGCACACACACACACCCTCCAAATATGGGTAGGGCAGAGGTTGACACATACGCACTCCTCTGCAGTGCATGACTGGCCCGGGACCCGCATCAGGAACGTACCTTCTGCAGTTCTGGCTGTTCATGGAAGGCGCAGGTGTCCAGGTTGGGCTGGGACTTGGTACATGTGGTTCGGCCCAACTCCACATCGAGGAAGTAATTCATTCCGGCCACGACCTACACACATGAGAAAACAGGACGCACGGACAGCGCTCCCCATCAGTTTCATGCACACACAGCACTTCACTGTGGCTGAGTCACTGGACTTGCTTGGGGCTTCGTGAGCTGCCCATATGTCACCACAAGGCACACAAGCCCCCTCTTCCTGTCAGCCGGCAGTGTGCTGGGCCTCATGCCTGCTCTTAAACATTGTTTTCTCTGTGCTGGGTAAAAGGATTCATTGAATTCTGCTACCTGGGGCTCAGGGGCGAAGGAACACTGAATCTTTTCTAGGAAGGCTGTCATCTGATGACAACATTTCAGCTAACTTCAGAAAATCTCATTCCCTCCATTTAACCTAGATTTATTCCTTCATTTAAGAGTAGGAAATGAGGTGCTTCACACACAGAGATGCTTTGGCTCAATGGGGCCTCCCGGATGCCACCATTTTAGGTGTGAGATTCGAGCTACTTTTCTAAAGTCAGCAGCACACCTGCGTGTCTTACAATTGCAGACTAGAACTGAACCCTTTCCCTGCACGGGGTCTCTCCCAGACACAATGTGGCAGAGCTGTGGAGAAACCTGGGATGAGGGACTCTGAGACCAGGGTGCTAGACATTGCCCCTTGGAACCAGGAGGAACTGCTGAGATCCCTCAAGTATCAGTTTATCCATATGTAAAAGAGGCTTCCGGGCCGGATGGTCTGCAGTACCCTGTGCTTCACTCCAAGTTATTGTCATGCTTGAAAGGGAGGTGCAGGCCAGCGGGGACCACTGCACCAGGAAGTGCACCTTGTGTGCAGGGTGAGGGCCCCAGCTGACAGCTGCAGGAGGAGAAATGGGGCTGGTCTGGATTCCTTTGAATTTCCAAGAGGAGGTGGAGGAGCTCCAAAGCCTGTGTCACTATTTGCTGCTCTGCCATGGGATGCACGTCAAGCTGGGCCCAGTAGCCCTTCGAAGCTCCCTCCTGACCTGACCCCATCCAATGCTCTGCTGGGTGACTGCTGTCCTCATCTGGCTGAGGTCTAACACTGCATCAGCTCGTAGAGGCAGGCTCAGGCATGCCCCACCCCAGCAGGGACTCAGCTGCCCTGGGCTGTAGGGGGTGGCCAGCCAAACCGAGAGTGAAGGCTGCTAGCCCTAAGGGGCTGTGCCCAGGGCGTGACTTGGGGAGGGAAGCAGGGCTCTGCAGAACAGGGAGCCAGGTTCCCATGTGGCCCCTGCCAACAGGACTCAGGAAAAAAGATAAGTCTCATGGCCTGGGTCTCATCCTGAGCAGCATCAAGCCCACCCAGAGTCAGCACAGTCTCCACCCACACCTGCTGGACCCTGGGAAATGGCACGGTCGTGTCACAGACACAGCAGCTCCTGCAGGTTAAAGGAGGCTGAGGGGACAGACAGTGGCTGCAGGGCATGGCCGGGGAGCATCCTAGGGCATGAAGGCCGTCAGGGGAGAGTCAGGGAAAGCTGAAAGAGTCTGAGCATTAGATCATGAATGTGTCAATGTTGATTTGCTGGGAATGCTCTTGGGAGTTGCGCGACAAACCAGGCTGGAACTCAGGACCTCTCAGGCGGTGGCAGCACCCACCTGCTCTCTGGCTCGCAGCACCCGCAGTGGGCGTCTGTAGTACTCATCTTCGGTGGCCTTGTTGTACTCGCTGATGGCGAAGTGAAGGGCACGCTGTACTTCATCATCATTGAGGTCTGCGTCATAGATGCCACCTGGGATCACCCTATCCTCCTCCTTGGGGCTCCAGGCCTGGGCCCCAGCCAGGGCGGCCAGCAGGAGCAGCAGGGTGCACAGGGGCTGGGCCATGGGCTCCTCAGAGGCAGAGCACAGAGCTGGAGCTGCAGGAGAGGAGGGTGAGAGCCTGAGGTGGGGAGCCCAGACCAGCAGGCAGCTGTGCATTTATCCTGCTTTGGCAGCCCAGCCCCACCCCCTCCATGCCACGCCCCTGACTCCTCCTCCTCTCTCTGCCCATCCCCTCTTTCTCCATCTCTCTTTTCAGTCCCCCACCACCACAAGCTCCCATCCTGCCTAAGTTCCCCCGGCCCCTCCCAGGCCTCCTCTTCCATATCTCCCTCCTCCCCACTCCTGTCCTCACTATAGCCTCCCCGAGCCATGCCTCTCTTCCCTGGTGCTCCCAAGCTTGAGTACAGAGGTGGCACTGCTCCTTTGACACTGCTCTATGAAAGCAATGTGACCTCCTGTTTGCTCAGAAAAGGGAAAAATACAGGGTTTGGCCTTCGGGGTCTTCAGATATCGGGGGCATCCAGAAGCCCTTGGTCACAGTCTCTGAATCTCTGGAGCAGGGAGGTTATTTCAGAAGGTTCCAGAAGACCCTGTCCACACCCTACTATGGAGAATTTCTTTGCCAAATGTAAGGGAATTAACCTGTTTGGAAAAGGTCACTGGGTTCTCTTCTCATAACTCATTATTCAGTAAACCAACCTGTCACCAGTTACTCCCTGTGCCAGGAGGTCTAGGAGTTGAAGACGGAACCTGGATGATGAGCCATAGAGGTGACGCTGCAGAGCTGCTGCCCAACAGAGATGTGACGTGAACCCAGGAGCAACTGAAAATTTCTCGTAGATGCATTTTAAAAGATAAGAATAAATGGGTGAAAGTAATGTTTAAAATATTTACTTAACCTAATATAGCCACAAGATTATTTCAGCTAATGGGAACAATTATTAATGAGATAGTTTATGTGGTTTGTTTTGTTTTGTTTTGTAAATCTTTGAAATTCCCTGTGTATTTTTTACACTTAGCCCAGGAGTCACTTTGGACTGGCCCCGTTTCAAGTGTCTGGTGGCACATGTGGCTGGTGACTATGGAACTGCACAGTCCATTCCTACACAGTGTGTGTAGGGGATGGTAGGTTATGATCAACAATTAGGATCAGGGAGTTATACTCACTTTGTTGAAAGTGAAATATTACAGGGGCTAGAGAGAGACCAGTGGACCCTGGTCAGGGAGGTCTCTACGAGACTGGAGAGGTTGAGAAGCCCCAGGCAGCAGGGAACAGCCAGTGCAAAGGCCCTGAGGTGAGGTTGGGCATGTCTGCTCCAGGGAAAGGAAGCTCCTGGAGGGGGTGTGAGCAGGGAAGGGAACGACCTGGATTCTCATGGTAACTGTGGGTGGGACCGGGTGGAAGGTACACAGAGACCCCTGGCAGGCAGTGGGGGTGTTAGGAGAGGGAGCAGCAGGCGCAGGGTGAATGTGGGAGTCCACGGGCCTCTCTTGCTTCTCTCCTAGGGAGCCATGCTTCAGGTTCCTTTCCTCTGCGCACTGCTTGGAAGACTCACCTGATATTTTAAAAATTGCCTTGAAGGAGGTAGAATTTACATACAATAAAATGCCTAATAGTATGTGCTCCACATGGAGGATTTCATAAATGCATATACCTGTGTTACCACTTTGTCCAGACCTGTGACATCTGCCTTGCCCCAGACGGTATACTCCCACCTCTGCAGCTCACCCTCATGCCCACCCTGCCCTGGCATTCCCCATCCGGCCCTGTAGACTCCTTTGTCACCAGTCCTTGAGCTTCCCAGGAATGGAGTCCTGCAGAGCGAGCCCAGGTGTGTCTTCGTCCTTTCCTCATCGTGGTTTTCCAGGGGCCCCTGAGTTACTTCATTGCCAGGATTGTGAGTTCTCCTTCTCCCCAGACTGAGAGGACCTGATCAGTTGGGTGCCCTGTGGGGTGACAAAGTCCCCAGCTCGGAATGCTGCGGGCCTGGGCTGGAAAGTGACTCCAGGAGTGGGGAGGGTGGAAGGAGGCTCTGAACAGACAGCTGTTCCCTTTGTTCTCTCAACCCCACCCTCCACGCCTGAAGGTGACCCTGTGGCAAATGCCCTTATGGTGAGGTGGCAGCTTGGCCAGAAACACCAGGAAACGCTGGGGCTTTGCAGGGCACCCAGAGGACTCTCCTGGGAGTGGTCGAGGTGAGGGTTGGCCAGAATCAGCCCAGACCTGCTGTCATCCTGGGGCTCAGCCATGGTTGGGGCTGGATCAGCAAGAACCCGACAGCGGGAACAGTATTACTCTTGGGTGCTCGTGTTCAGTATTAGGACAGGGGACCTTGTTACCCAAGGTCCAGTGACCATCTCACCCCACGGTGAATCCAGCACCCCTAGAAAGCCATGCAGCCCAGCAGATACAGCAGGTGGCCCAGGGATGGTGGTTACTGCTGGGTGAGGGAGGGAAGGTCTTCAAACAGGGCTGCACATATGCCTCCTAGTTAGACAGGACATGGGGAGAGATTCCCAGAGAGGGAAAGAGAGGGCAGCCCCTGACCAGGTGCTTGTGAGCAGAATGGTCATCTCCAAAGGGTAGGAGTTAGTTCTCCTCTGTGGCTCCCACTTTCCCGGGAGAGCTGGGAGTCCAGACTCAGGAAGACATGCTGTGCAGAGGGTAAGCTGAAGGTCAAGCAATCCTGTATTTTTTTTTTAAAATCAGTGGAAGGGAGATGCAGGTAACCCAAATAGCGAGAATGTGCTGGTGGGTGGAGTGTGAGGGAGGGAGGCCAGAGTGCTGACCTGTGCCCCGTATGTGATGACACCACCAGTGGTCATCTGTCAGGATACTGGCCGGCACTGCCCGGAGGGTCAGCTGTCCTGATGCAGCAACCTCTCTAATCGCAGTAGGAAAGATACCAGTGTAGGTTGCTCTTAGGAGTAGGTACAAGTGCGACGTCCACTGTGGAGTGATAGGAAGTGGCAGGTTAGGGTAGCTGGCCAGCTGCTCCAGACGTTTGATGAGCGTAGGCAAATGTTGTGTCTATCGTGCATCTGGAGAAAGAGGCTACTTTGCAAAGCATAGTGTCTGGAAGTTCAGACCAGCAGAGATGAGCAGACTTCAGCAGTGATGTATCAACCTGTTTGAAAATGATGGAGTAGCCAGGTGTGGTGGTGCACCTGTAATCCTAGCTAATTAGGAGGGTGAGTCAGGAAGATTCCTTGAGTCCAGGAGTTCCATTCCAGCCTGTGAAACAGTAAAACACCCATCTCAAAAAAAAAGTGACAGAACACTTTGTTCCCTGATTTCTATAGTCCACAGTTTTAAGGACACACCAGGAGGGGGCCAGATAGCAAGCACGGACTGAGGAACAAGCCTGGGGCCTCCAGCTCCCATGTAACCTGGAGGAGTCCAGCTGCCCAGGAGGGGGCATGTTTTCCTTCTGCCACGTGACGAAAGAGAAAGCTGTGTTCGCCTAGGCTGCGTGGGTGACTACTGATCCGATCATCAGAATTAGCAGGATGAGAAATTAGGTGAGTGGCAGAGGTTCTCTGTAATAAATGACCAGTAATAAGTGAACGCTAAACAACACTATAATAAACAAACGACCAAGCGCAGAAAGCATCACCTAAAGGTGCAAGTGGTGAGGACAAGCTGGCCAAGAGTTGAGATTCTGCACATCTGGGTTTTAAGCAACTAACACTTTGGCCTATGGTAGGAGCTGAGACTGAGCAGCCACAGGATTTGGTGGCTTCTCAAATGGGAAGCCCAGGAGCCCCCTTTATGGAGTGCCTGGAATTCTCTGAGGTCAAGCTCGTCTCGTTCACACTCCATCGCTCCTTCTTTTCTCCCTCTCCTCAAACATGGCGGACACATGGATGTTCTAAACTGTGAGCCAATGTTGGTAACACATTTGGCTCTTCCACATCATTAGGAAGCTGTGATACTCATGGGGAAGCCAGCTGGTAGCTCCCGCAAGAAAAGGCGACAGGGCAGAGCCCAGTGCCTGAGGTCCTATTGTTTTGCACTCCATGGAGAGAAAGAGAATCCTTCCTCTCAGGGACCAGTAGGTGAACAGTATTCATAGTTTTGGAATGCAAGTTAACATTTATTTTTCAAAAAGAGTATTCGTCAGTGCAGATTCAGTGACTGAAGAACTACATAGGAATGGAGGGGAGTAGAGGCGGCCTCCAGGATCTCGGGCGGCTGGCTGCTGCAGGCAGGGATCCGTCTGACTTCCTGGGCTGCAGCCTGCAGAGGCCTGGACCCGAGGAAAACAGATGACTCTGAGGAGGTGAGTAATCTCCTTGACATTGCTGAGTGGTCAGACTTTCTTATCCTGTTTGGGTCACTGTTCGCACTTCCCTGTCACTGTTTGTGTAACCTTAAACATCAATTCCTTTAGCAAAGTGCAGTGACGGTGGAGAGTGGTTCCTGTTCCTGCTTGGAATCCTGCTAAACTCAATCACTGAGTGCTGGAGCTGGGGCCAGAGGCCATCAGGCAGCCCTGCCCTTCCCGTGACCCTGCCTGCTCTCTCCTGTCACAGAGGAGCTGGATCCAGCGACAAGACTCACCTTGACCAAACCTTAGTTAGGCTCCTCTGAGCCTTCATCTCCCCTAGTCCTCAACCCTAGTCCCCAGCCCCTACCTCCTGTTCTTGCGAGGGCTGCATTGCCCAGTTTTAGGAAAGAATCCTGCTAAGTCAGTTTAGAAAGAATCCCCCCACCCTTGGTATCTGATCACTCTCCACATCTGATCAAGTTCTTCATTCCTTAACTTTGATGTCTAAGGCTTTGTCCTGCCTTTAGCAACAATATTGTTAGGTCAGTTTATCCAGAAACTCCTACCTTTTTGTCTCTGCTTAGTAATTCCCATCTATTAACCCCACCACCCTGATCCTTGGCTGTAAATCCCACTTCACCTTGTATTGAGAGTTGAGCTCATTCTCCATCTCATTGTGAGAATCTTTACACCTATTGCAATAGTCTCGAATCATCTCTACCAAGCTCAGGCTTCAAGCAGTGAAGTTGCACATCCTTTTGCCCATAATGTCATCACTGGACTTCCTGCAGGCTCCAACAATTCAGCATGTCCAGTGTTACAATCATTTTGGCCCACACCCCTGCCTCCCATCATGTATCCCCAGTTT